GGAAGCTACTTTCTTGGTAAGTCTCTTTTCGCACACCCCTGTAAAAAATTATATGATCAATAAAAATTAAACATTATTTAAGTGAATCCGTGCAATAGTAATATTTTATATTCTACATGAAATGACAATGCTAAACGATATGCGGTTAAATATAGAGTTAAATGGAGGATGTTAACTGAGGATGTTGGGGCTGTAAAAGTATAGAGCAAAAAAGGTTGAGGGAAAAACTGATCAAATACAGAACAATATGTGATAGAAATGCCACATTAATTAGGCATTATGTAGGAAAATGTGGGAAAATGTTCAAACATTTTCAAAGATTTAATTATAAAGAAATTGTTTATATTATTAATATTTAAAAAAAATCTAATACAATTACATTTAATTTGACATATATTGGCTTATGAGCAAACATGCTTTTTAAACAATTAGCCTGAACAAGCAAAATTAAGGCAAACTGAATCCATTTTGGGGACAAGAAAACATGCCGCTTACTTTTTACCATTAACTATTGAAATTTATTATCAAAACCAGCTAAACACGATTGATTATGTATAATTGCATAAATAAATGATCGATTCAATTAAGACATCATTAAATAATACAATGAAGTTGAATAAAAGTAAATCCTGTGAGATGATTGATCAGACTTACCCCTGTGATGACGGCACATCTGCACCAGCTCAGGGACAGCAGGAGCACAGACAGAATCAACACCCTGCTCATAGCAGCAGCGGGACACAAACACACACCACGGAACACTAAGAGCTTGATCGTTCTTTTTTTGTGTTGTTCTAATTCTCCCTATTGATCTCTATTCTGTCCTGTGGAGCTCCTGGAGGATTCAGTATGGCCCTGAGATGATTTCACTTCTCTGCTGTTCTTGTCCTCCTGTCTCAGAGTGTGGAGTCTTTGGTAACTTCTGAAATAAGGTCTGAGGTCTGGCTCTGTCTCTCTCTTTCTTTCTCCATCTCTCTTTCTCTTTATCTCCCCTCGCCCCTCTCTTACCCCCACCCACCCACACCTCCGCAGGGACTTCGTCATCTCTTCTGTATGATGGTGGACCGGATGATGGAGAAGAGACCTCACTGGACGTTTCACTGTAAGCATATCCTTCCTAATGACACCAGCTAGAGTAGCACATTTTTCATTGGATTTGTGTGGTTATAAATCAGCTGAGTTAAATTTAGAACAACATTATTTGCCACTCTTTTTTTTGTCTTATATGCCCCCAAAGCCCCATCAATAAGCCTCAAGCACCCCTTCATTGAATTCTGAAATGTGCTTATATTGTCAACTAATTTTATACCGAATATCATTTAAAATAAGAAGTTATTTTACAATTTAATAAAATCACAGCTGATATATGAGTGGGAAAAAAAGGTTTACATATATTCTGGTATGAGTGTTGTCCACACTAATTTATAAGAACACACAAAACAATATTTTGTTTATTCACTTTTTATTTTATTTCCTTAAAATTACCTTTTTTTAATCTATTTTTTTCTCTTTTATAGTTTTAACCAATCAAAATCTTTCCAAGTACCCCTGGGAATCACTGGAGCTCAAATCGCTATAAAATATTTCAGTAAATCCTCCAGTTAATGTTTATAGTGTTTTATTTATTTATTATTTAGATTATCAAATGTATTTTTGCTGGCCAAAACACATTTTAAATATATGCTATGTCGCAAAAAGTTAAGCTCAATGAAATATATTTTTGAAATTAAAAATATATTTAGTTTCAACCTTCATATTATAAAATATATTTCAATATGCATTCATGTATTTTAGGGGCAAGAAAATACATTTCCAGTCTTCCAGTAGCCTACATTTAGGCTAAAGCTAAAAACTTTGGACTAAGTGGTTTAATAATATGTATTTATTTTTTTTATATTGTAATACTGTATGTTCCTTGCTTATTTTTATTCAAATATGTTACACGTGTTATAGAATACAAATAAAGGTTTACATTAAATGTGACATGTGTATGTATTTTGCTGGATTGTAATGTATGGAGAGCAAAGTATATTTTTAAATGCTTTTTAAAATATATATTAATATTTTTTAAAATATATTTAATATAAAAATTAATATATTTTTGGCTTTTTTTTGTGTATATTTCGAAAATATTTCAAAATATATTTGAAAATACTTTTTTCCCCTGCCATATGGGTAATTTTAGTAGTTTAGTAGTATTTGCGTAAATTCCATAATTTATGCAACTTTTAAAGGAATATTTTAGGTATATTTGTATATTTTAAAATATGGCAGGATTTGTAATGATGTAAGAGCTGTGAGGAGTCTGAAATTCTCAAACAATAATTTGAAAATATATTTTCAAAATTATTTACTCTATTATCAAAAAGTAATAGTTCCTCGCACCTTCATCATCCAATATCCTCTATGCATCTGGTTTAATGCACAGCTTGTTAAAGTCATTTCAGTTATTTCCCCGTTCCCTCATTCACTTCTCCACTAGGCACTTGTTCATTTTACAGGACTCCACGAGCCATAATTATCACCTTCTCATTTGAATAATTAGGATTCATCACCCTTTACAGTGCCAATGTAACGTCAGACTTGCAGCCAAGTTACAGGGTACCAACACAAGTCAAGTAAGTTCATAGGAAATGAGTCATCAGCGTAAGGGGTTGACGAGAGAAACATTTATTTTTGCTTCCTGACAATATGATGCAGCTCGCAGGTAAATCACAACAAATTAAGCACTTGTCAATTCATTTGAGACGTTTAAGCCTACAGTCACTTCATGACATAATATGCCATTCACTGACAATTTCCTATTTACAAGTCTTAAATGTGCCAGTCAGGCACAGAAGGTTAAACGCATTCGACATCATGTCCTCTCAAGCCTGAAACTTCCTTGACCCAGCAGTAACAAGAGTAATTACATCTCATCATGGACACATAAGCCCTACTCACTACAAACAGTATGTTTCACATGAAGTGACTCTTTAAAAATAAGGAAATTCACACAAAGCTCTGCAGTTTTATGCAGAATTGGAACGCCTTCCATTCATAAAAGCTGTTAGCATGTTTGTTTATAAGTATTTTAATTGTGCTTTCAGCTAACAATACATATGACATCTTACATGGCCTTATAAAAGCCTTATAAAGGCACCTTGTAAAGTCCAGCACGCTCTTTTTATCAGTGTCAGAACTAACAAATGAAAATGTGGATAAAGCCTGTATGAACTGCTGATCATCAAAGCCCTAGGGATGGAGATACGTGATGAAACGCAGCTATACAGAATCAATGAGCTTACTTGAAATTATAGCTAAATAAAATATCCGACTTGACGGCAATTAGAGTGAAGGATAGCGGGATGGAAAATGTCAGTCCTATCTGTTGGGATTTGATTTACGTTTAGCGAGAGCATGAAAATGCCATTGGTTAGTCAGCAGTGCATTACTTGACTGCAGTGGAAGTGATGGATGTCACTGACGCCCAGGCCACGTAATTACATTGCAACTTTTTGCCCTGTCAGCAGACCAACTTGGCTCTAACTGCACAGGACTGGGCAGAAATCATCAAGCGTTGCCGGCAGGGGAGAGTCCAAGTTAGCTAAAAAAGCCTGAAAGCTGTTAAGCATAACTTCATAATAAATGCAGTTTGAAAACTGAGCCAAAAAAGGAAAGAAAATAATTGTTTAAATTAAATTGAATTTTAAATTAAATTATTAATGCATAGCCTGTAATTTTTTATATTAATATTCGCTCAGTAGTTATTTTTGAATTATTTAAATTATCCTGCACACACTAATAACGTGCCATTTTTGGCAAAATAATCCCATTAATTCATGTCTGTCTTTTGCAGTAGCAGTAGTATGTCAAATGGACCTCATATCAAAACTGTGATATCCATAAATAAAAGGCTGCATACATTCTGGAAACATTAACCTGATCGGATGGGCTCTAGAGGGACAGAAATGGTCGATGTTGCTCTGCCTCATTCCATTTGCATGTATATTGAGTTCAAAACCCTGATTTATACTATACACTCTGCACAAATTGTGTAGTGGTAAGCTGTACAGTATATGCTACACAGTTATATAAACATATATGTTATATAATGGATATGATGTTATATAATGTTTTTTTTTTTTAGAAGTGATTCTTAAAACAGGCTCACAAAACACAAAGGAGAGTAGCCTACCTCACTATCATGAGTTCAAAATGGAGAAGACAGCATTGGTTTCTGATAAAGAACTTCTGCTCAAATACAATTGATGGTGAGGAGCTTTCTTTTATTCTGCTCTTGGTCAGAGCATGAGGTTGTCTAGACTCTAGAGAGATATCAACAGTGAACATTCACACATTCCCCTGGGAGTTCTCATTGACAATGACAGCTAAATGTTAACCGGATGTATTTGCCCTTTAAAGAATTTTTAGGAAGGTATTATTTATAAAAAAGAACGTAGAGGTAGAAAAAGATGTCAATCTAGCCACTGAATCATATGTGATCATCCACTAAATATCAATACAGTGCTGCAGCCATGACGTCAAAACACTGACTAATTCATGAGTTCCCTCGAGATTTTCCTATGGGTTTTAATAAAGTTTTTTTTTCAATTTATGTATTAAAAAAAAGGTCTGTGCACTGTGCAGGGCTGTCCTTAGGGCAGTGCAACTGGTTCGGTCGCACGTTTCTGGGTTTTGACATCACGGTTGCAGCACTCATAGCCCTGCAGGAACATTCATCTTAAGCTGGTTGCTGTTTTAGTACATTGTAGCTGGTAATAAATCACTTTGGTCCAGCAAAAAACTAAGCTATCAGCTCGTTAGTTCTCCTGTCGTATGTCTGTTAAACTGTATCAAATTAATATTTATTTAAGCTAAAACCCATAATGCATTACAGGCTACACAAAGAGGGTTAGGCTGCTAACAGTATTTTCTTATTTACTGTCAAAATTAGACTTTGGGCTAGATGGCGCTAAATCATATTCGCATTTAGTATTTTTTCCTTAGAGGGCGCCGTAGCGTTGGAGTCGCGTGTAATGTCAGCTGACACCCCGGAAGTGATACAAGTGATAAATATCGCTGCCACTCTCTCCTCGATATTTCATATTTCGGTTAATTTAAAGACATTATTAAAGCCGCTATTATGGAGGGTGCACTGGAGCAGCATCTTGATGATACGTACGTTAAAATTTATCATTACCCCCCCCAAAGCATAGGCTATATAACATTTTAGGTGTTGCTTTACTAATCTGTTTTCTTCCACTAGAATGAAAAATCCTGCCATTGTTGGGGTTTTGTGCACAGACGCTCAAGGCCATAATCTAGGATGTAAGTATCATTCTGTCTCATTTATCCACTAGGTCATGATGACAGGATAACTGTATTTGAGCAGTTTGCATGTGCATTTTCCTCCAGCAACATTCATGTTTACGTAAGTGTACAAGGAAAGGTTTAGCCAAAAATATAGATAAATGCAAAAGTTCTGAATGTGGTTCAATTCAGTTTACTTTCATCAAACTGGGCATGTTATTATTTAAAATTAACAACTGGGTCAATATCACTGTAGGGTGCCTTTTGGTGTCCTGTACATAAGTAACTCATTTGCCATGATAACTTAACATAAAAATGACTATGAAAGGGTGTGTTATTTTAGGCTAGGTTTTTATATTCACAACAAAAGCATTACTTGGCTCTTTAGATACATTTTCTAGATTTTTTTTTAGTTTTGTGTAAGAGGATGCGTGTTATTTTGCTATGTCCCATGCACTGCTCATTAAATTTGAATGATAGTAGAATATTACATCAAACTATGCCTTTGTTTCTTTGCTTGTTTTGAATACGCGCCCTCTAGCGAAAACTTACATATTGTGCCTTTAATAAAAAAGAAGAGTTTGTCCATGTCCCTTGAATGGTTGTCCACCCTGTGGTATTGGGGAATCCACCCCTTTAAGAAAAGGCCATCCCCTTTAGTGACATTAGGACATCAGATTTTTTGTCTCTTCAGTGGCGGGAATTTCATCGGCTGAGGTGAATAAGTTGGTGACTTTTCATTTGACAAATTTTCTTCGTCTGAGTTTGCTTACTTGCTTTGCCAAAGCGTAACATGTCCACCCTATCGGCATAAAATATGTCAGAATTGATTAGAATACAGTATTTTCAATATATGTAAGTTTAAATATACCAAATTCTCTTCAACAACCAGACTAAATATTTAGCTAGTCACAGTTTGTTGTAAGCTAATATGCTAATTGAAGCTCAAAATGTCCCTGTCGGCCACTTAGACTCGATAGAGTGGACATAGCATTCATTTGTAGTTAATATTGCTAAAAACTTAAATGAATTGGGGGGGGGGGATATATAATTATATATATTGAGGATGTAATTATATTATTTATTATTATATTATTTTTTTAATAACTCTGTTTAGGAAAGGGACATCATACCTTTCAGAAAATATAATTTGCATCTTAATTTTGCAATGAAAACGTATTTAACAGTAATATATACATGACAGGGTGGACACATCTTATGGTTTATGCTTCGAATAATGGCCCATAATTATCTAAAAAAAATGTGTGGGAGCTCAGCTATGTTTCTAGTACTTACTTGAGTGTCTACTATTTATGATATGACATAAAGCGAATGGGAAATTAAAACCAAACTTTTTGAGTATTGTGAGGGTTGAAAGGCACTCCATGGTGATATTGACCCAACTACAACCCAAACTAAAACTATGCGTGTGTATTTGTATTTATTTATGCAAATTGAAAAAAATACAAAAATTAATATGAAACTAAATGAAAAAAAGAAAATAAACTAAAATATGTTTAAGTTGAGGCCCTAAAATTACTCAAAATTAAGCTAAAACTAAAAGGAAAACAGAAAAATAAAAGCTAATTCCAAATATTAATAAAAAAAACTACAAAGGTGTATGTAATTACATTTTTTTTTTCAACTGCTTCCATTTTCAAAACTTTGCCTCTTTTTTTCAAAACTTTACACACAAATCCAAGAATTGCACACACAAAATGCAAAATGCCTCACATCTCTTGCAAAATGAAGCACTGCATTAAAAACATCACAAACACATCTCAAAAGCAAACATTTGTCTTATGTTGCAAACACCTTTGTCATAATATTATATTGTTTGGTATATCATATACACACACAGTTATTCAAAACCTAAAGCTCTTCTTTTATGAGCTCCTATATACATTTCTGTACAACACTGAAGAAGATTGAAACCAAACTTTTTTTACTGTAAGCATTTGTGGTTGTGAATACAGTATTACACAGTACGAAAGGCCTATTCTAAAGCCATGATTGGTTGGTGTTAAGTAAAGCAATGTTTGCACATGTGAGGAGTTAGTGTGAGGCACTGATGAATTAGTGTGGCATTTTGATTGGTTGTGTTTGAAAAAGGAAATCAAGATACTTCCTGTTAGATTTTTGTGTTACATAGAGAATTGTGTGTTGTTTTTTGCAAAAAGTGTTTTATGAAATTAAAAAATTGAGTCAAAGGCAGAGAATAAGTGTATGGTTTTGCAGATTTGGTGTGTGGTTCTGGTGAGTGTCAGGTTTCAGAAGTGCAAGTAAAGATTTTGTGTGCGAGCAGTTGAAAAAAAACAAATACACTACATTTATTTTACTTTGTTTTAGGGCTGCACAATTAATCGAATTTGTAATCGTGATTACAATTACGGATGCCACAATTACATAATCGTTCAAAGGCGCAATTAAAAGCAAGTAACATTACAATACTACCCTTTTTTTTTTTTTTTTATTTAAAGAAGAAACCAAACCAATGTATAGTTGACATTTAAAGGCTAAATGCTATAGTAAAGCAATTAAAGTTTTTCTGGAAGAGTGTTTTCAGCTTGTTAATTTTCATATTAAAATATGGCATGCAGTTGCTTCAAACGATGGTATAAAGCTATTCAAAACATCATTCAATGTAAATTGTGATAATCGTAATTAATAATCGCAATTACAATTTCAAGGGAATAATCGACAATTATGATTTTTGTCATAATTGTGCATCCCTACTTTGTTTCACTAATGAAGCGAGGGAAAAAACACCAGTGACAAACTCCTTACAGATGACAATTTTTTTTTCTCACTTTTTTAAATGTCTAAAACAATATACAGGTATAACATTGAAAGTATTGTTTAATAAACTATAAGGTTACAGAATGTTGCTTTCATATGTGTTTTCCTGATTGTCTGAAATCTTTTTCATTGCTCACCATAATTTGGGGATGACCCATGTACTGTAAGTGTCAACTTCTTTAATGTTTTAATCTCAGGCCGTGGCTCGCTTTCTGATGAACATGGAGGAGTTGTGTCTGTGCTGGCCAAGCAAGCTGCTTCTCTAACCAAAGACCCCACTGACTCTCCTACTGTGTGTCTGGAGTCTGACTCTGGGTAAGAAGCTACTTGACAAACATCTGCCTAGTTTCTGGAATCTTGATTAAGCTTAATTTTTAGAGACATCCAAGAACAAGGAAACAGACTCCAGATCTTAAATGTTTAGTATCTTCATTAAAAAAAATAAAATTGAATAATTCATGGGCATAGCAATATTAAAACTGAGGGCATGTTCTCCAACCTGCTGCTTTCATCCCACACGCTCTTCAAATTTTATCTATGCATTAAAGGTTATTATAATGGACAAAAAACTTTTGTTGCTGCTTTTTAAGTATTTAATGGGACCCTTAATGTAATTCTGTCATTGCAGGAACATTTTGGTGAGAACACATGGAACAATTACACTGGCTGTACATAAGATGGCATCATAAATTCTGTTTATTTCTAATTGTCATATATTGAATGTGTGCAGTGTTTTTAAACATCATTATTTTGAGTTTGAAAAGCTTCAACAGTCTATTGTCAGCAACATAGAAGTTTATTGATCGGCTGAGATCATGTCTTCCATCATATCAGAAACCATCATATATTTGTGTCCATGGTTAATCAATCATTTCTTTTCCAATATTTGTATTTTCTTTCAACTATAGTTTAGATGTGTTTACTGCTTTTTGGGGTCAAAACTATTATTTCACAGCTATTAAATTGTGTTATTTAAGGAAATTAAGTCTATTTTACACATTTGTGAGAGGCGTTTAGTTGAAGTACCATAATGTGTTCAAAAGGGGGCAGTAGTTGTAACGTTATGCATAAAGTAGAATAATGAAGATAATCACAATGATTTTACATTCAGTAAGTACCTGACAGAGAACTGTTTAATGGATCATTGTGAATTATAGTTTATGTGCATGATAAACAATGGCAAATTATTAAAGTTGAGAAAGTTAAGGTTTTACTCAGCCTCCTTCTTAGTTATGGTTAATTATAAATGTCATTTTTGTCAAACAGGTACCATTTAAAATTAGTTTTTTTTTTAATAACAAATATACTATCCTTTTTCTTGTTTGTTTGTTTGAATTGAACAGGTTTGTTGTATGCATATGGAAAATACAGAGAATTCTTTGGTCTTCTCATTTTTCTCTTTTTGTAAACAAATTCTCCAATAAAACATACAGAGGTAAAAAGTAATTTAAAAAAGTGGTAACTTAAGGTTTTTTTATTTTTTTTACCAGTCACTCTGGCCTGTCATGGAGCGTTCCTTCCTTGATAACAGTTAACAGTGAAATCACTTATCTTTTGATTGTAAAAGACTTATCATTTTTACCTTAACATAGCTAATAAGAATCAGAGTTTGGCAAAGTTAGCACTAAAGCTGGAAACATCCAATTGGTATACAAAGTGTGCAGCATGAATTCTAAGAGAAAAGAAATCATACATTGCAGTTTTTGCTCTATATTTTGATGTACCTGTAATGTATTTACATTATTTGTCACTCAATGTTTAGAAGATGTTGTGAATGTGTAACTTTTTTTCAAGCACAAAAGCAGCACTGAGAATAGCAAGTGTGGGTCAACCTAACAATTTTGTGACTATTAAGAGGAAAAAGTTTGTTTTTATTTTTTATAAATGCACACAATATATATATTTGTAGAATGTAATGCCTTTATGGATCTACAGCTGAAAAGACTAAATATATTATCTGAATTGTAGCTCTAAATAGTTGGCCAATTTTGCGATATGCTGTACATGTGGAAGGTTTGTGTGTGCTTTAAACGGCAGATAAATGTTCGCTTAGTACATTGTTTGATTAACATTTTAGAATACAGCAGGTGTGTTTTAATGTTTGAGAACATAAGAAGGCATGCAATGACTTGCATGGCAATGTTTTTATCTGGGATTACAGTATCAAAATGTACAGGTCTAGATCTTGTAGGACAGTCTGTCATTCATTACTGTCTGTTTACCTGTGTTGTTCTAAAAACTTCAAAGATTAACCTGCCTTTAACGTTTTAAGGGCCTGAGCATCTCACATCAGTGCCTTTTATGTTTCCCCCCCCACATGATGGTATCTATCTGAATACCTAAACATTTATTATTTGCCCAGAAGCAGTCATAGTGTAGTGCTTTGACCTCTTTCAAATAGCCACAGCCCAGGAAAGCCTCTGTAATTAGTTCCACTTCAATACTTAGCTTATAAGTTCCGGTCACATGGTCATTAAATGCACTAGGGGCCGTCTTTGGCTCTGCACAGCCTGAGCGCATTGCATCCGATCTGTGCCGGTCCGAGGGGTCAGATGTGACCCCCGATAGACTCAAGAGACTGGGGGCAAATTTTCAGAAAGCAGGAGAAATTAAGCACAGGGAGTCTAGCCATGGTCAGGGATGACTTTGATAAGACATACCACCACATAGGAGGAGCTGTCACCGGGGAATCCACGGATGTTGCCTGCAGCACAACTGCAGATGCGCGCGGTGAGGAGACGTCTATCCAGATCAAGTCTTAACAAGTGAAACCTGGAATAAAACGACTGATATCGTTTCGGGAAATATGGTAAATCCTTTTCCGGTTTGCGTTTATGAAATAGTCGATGACAATTCACAAAATGAATTTTTCGGTTGCAAACATGTCCACAAGTAGCCTATATAAGACAAATTCGAAGTTTTTCAAAGCTAAGTTTAAGTCTCTCTCTCTCTCTCGTCAATTTGGTAATAGATGTTATATGCTGTAGGTTAATTTCAACGGCGTGTGATGAGTATTATTCGGAGTTCTGTGTTCATTAAAACATAATTATATAAAATACATGTAACCTGGCTAGGTTATAATTTTATAGTTCTTTGTTATTTTATTTACTTTTCAAAATGCGATGTTCTTAATGTTTTGTTAATTCAAAAAAAAATTTAATTCATATGCAACAATCTAATACGAATGCGTATAAACGGCAGGTAGCTAAATGTGATTAACGTTTTATTTACCCCCCACCCCACAAAAAATTCTGTTTAACTAACAGAAAAATAAAACCCGATATGTTTTATCAGAACATGCAGCATTGATCATATAATGCCAGAGGTTAAACTGACATTGTTTTTTTTCTATCGACTGTTATCGATAGGTGTAAAGTACTGCACTCCAGTAGCGCGCATTCACATGAACGCCGCTGGGCTCGCGCGATCCACACACGAGCGCTATGCGGCTGCGGACAGCTCGCGACAGCAGCGGCTCTCTGGCGTTTGAGGTAAGTGCATAAGTGCAACATCCTCGTGATTTTCGCCTCTGCTTTGTGTCATAATATAGGACTATGAACTAAGCCTAAGTTTTTGAGGTTTAACTACACTACCGCACGTCTAGTTGAGATGAGGATGGGGAGGAAATATAGTCTGTGTGGGATGTCCTGAACGGTGTGTTCCCAGTGAGAATCTTTGAAGGTTGCAAACCTTTTACAAACGTTTGTTTAAGTGAAAGTTAGGAGTCACGAGGTTATTATTTATGGCAACGTTGAAGAGTGATACTGGATTATAAATTGGACACTTTCTCCCAAAGTTAGTACATGCTCTTAGGTTAGGCCTACTTAATCTTATTATAGTATGTTTCACATTAGGAAAAGTTGTGCATGTTTTCTAGACTCTAAATGTTTGATGTGAAGACACTGGGAGGCAATGTGTGGAAATGTACTTCTGTGAATGTGTTTAGAAAACATTACAGTGAATCAATGGAGAGGTCAAGGAATTTCCTTCCACTCACTGGCTGTAATGTCAGAATAACAAGATTGCATTTGCAGATTCATCAATGAGTGAAATAAAAAAAAATAATTAATGTAATTCTCGGTTGAACTGAGGATATATAACTAATTAAAAAGGTCAAGCCCCTGCACAAACCCAACACAAGGTAAGAGGGTCCACAGTCACAGGGGTGTAAAGTTCCACACAGGTATGCCAACACAACAGCTGTTTAAAAAAATTGAAAAAAGCAGTACTCCGACTATTCACACCAGAAATCATCACAGTTATGAAAGCTTGTGACCCCCAGTCAGACATCTCTAACAATGAATGTAAGATTAACTGCGTCATGCATTTGTCAGCATGCATGAAAATTCAGAGAATTAGTTGTTTGAAAGACACACACTTTGGACACCCAATGATTAGAGATTCTTATGTGGAGAAGGTCCAAAAGATAGTAAGCTATAACCGAGTTTGTGTAACAGGTTTGTCAAAAGCAAGATCTGCAAGTTGAGCTTCCAGTGCAGAAGATGACACAGAGTAAATAAGCTGTCGCCTTAAAGGTCATTCATTTTCCTGTGCAACAATTATGCTGCCAAAAGAGCAACACAGGTGAGTCTTTTTCAAGATGTTTTTTTCTAACTGCCTAATATTATGAGATCTAAATTTGTTTTTTAAGATGGATCTTTTTACATTTTTATAGGTGTCCCTTTTCATTCATATAGCTACTAATTTTTTTCCAACATTTAAAACGAAGCGACCAGACAGGTTTTGCATGACTTTCACATAACCAATAATGATATAATGATTTCATTACACATACCAGAGGAGGAAAACACTGCTTTTGTGACCAAAGATATTGCTCACTCAATCGCTGCATAGGGCAATTACCAAAAATGCAATTAGCACTGGATTTTAAAGAGCCTTTTGAGTGAAAGTGTCAGGGTGAGTAACAGGGTGGACTGTAGACTTTTCCAATTCAACTTCCTGGACTTACTCTTGAACTGAAGCATTCACACATGTGATCTAACATACATGCATGCATGCAAGCACACACACATGCACAGACACACTCCGGGGTGGCCCTCGGTAAGCACATGGAAGGAAATGTTACTTACAACACACTGGCCCAATTCATTGCTCTGTAATCCTCTAAGCAGGTTCTGCATGCTTTAGCATCTCCACTTGTCTGTTTTCTATTGAAGGAACAGCCAACTACTTGAACTCATGAGCTTTATGTACGAGAGCTTTACAAACCACATATTTTCTGTCTGACACGGTTATGTTTTCGTCAGTGAAGCTATGAATTTCCAGATCACTTTGTCTTTAAAAGTTCTGCACACATAACGGCTTTAGATAAAGGGATTGTTCACACAGAAAAGAAAATTCTGTTGTTTTTTTTTACTGTAAAATTTGTATGGCTTTCTCTCTTCTGGGGAACACAAAGTGGATGCTTTTAGCAGAATGTCCAAGCTGCTCTTTTGAAAGTGAATGGACCATGATTTCAGTGAATAAAGTGTTGCATTTTAGTCCATTTCTAATTTAAGGCTATTGAATGGTTCCTAAAGACCTGAAATGTAGTGCATTTATGCTTCTTTTTCTGCTTTTTGGGGCTTGATTTCCATCGACTTTCACTGTACAGGTACATCCAATGTCAATTTAGATATTATGCCAAATGTCTTCTTTTTTTTGTGTTCCACAAAAGAAAGAAAATCATACAGGTTTGAAACAAAATAAAGGTAAGAAAATTGCGAGTGGGTATATTTTGAGTGAACTGTACCTTTAAGAAAAAAAGTGTATATTTTCTATACAGTTGTCATGTGCACGCATACATTTTCAGATCTGCAAACTTCATGTTCCTGCTTCAGCTGGAATGACCTGAGGTGATGAATTTGTTTGCTCAGTATTTATAGTTGAGCAAGCGTTTATCTCTGTGAAATAATTCAAACGATCCACCATCTCTGCACAGGGGCTCGCTGTTCGGTTAACTTCATGCCAGGTGTTTGTTTGAACGAACCCGTTAGCCTTTGACCGTTCTTTCGCTCAGTCTCTCTGTGTCATTTTAAAACTGTACTAGACACACATTGTATTCAGCTGTAAATAAATAGGTCTCAGGCCCAGATCCAGAACACTTCACCTCATACTGATAACCAGTTTAAACCGGTGGCATCCTCATGTTTACTCAAAATTTAACCACTCTGAATAGAATAACCCATGGTACTGATGTCATCACGGTCCACTGCATTCTGGGTTTAGAAAATGTTTAACAGATAACACCAGATCAAACCACATTATGCTGGCGATACTGTATTTGGGTCCAAATGTAAAAAGGGCAAAGGAGATAGAAGAGTAACAGGAATCAGATTAAAAATTAACTATCACATTTGTCATTTTTATATCCTTTATTGGTGTTTTGGTACATTGGTTTTTGTCTTAATTGAACCTGTTCATATCATAATAATTGATTAATTATTGTGTTCTTGGAAGCCTTTCATCTGTAAGGAGTTGTATGCTTCAGATGGTGAAGAGGTAATAATTTTATGAAACTTTATCTCTCACTGGTTGATGTTAAGTGGATGTTGTGATGTTTCAGTGATGGCAAGGCTAGCAAAACCTCCTGCTCTGAACAAAAAGTCAAGGCCATGAAGGAGGAAAAGAAGGAGGTTGTTTATGTGGATCCACCAGATGGCGGTTGGGGTTGGATGGTGGTTCTGCATTGTTTCCTGGTATGTCATGAATCCTACCGTTAGAGACTCTGATTTAGAGCTTCTTTGCTATGATAAAATTGAGGTGATCTGTATTGAGCTGAAATCAGTTGAATCTGCTGGTGTTTTTTCAGGTGAACGTGTTTGTAATGGGTACATTGAAGAGCTTTGGGATCTTCTTTGTGGCACTGCAGGATGAGTTTGGAGGCTCGTCCGAGAGCATCAGCTGGATTGGATCCATCATGTCCAGCCTCAGGCTCTCTGGAGGTACGGTCAGCATAGCAACCATCTTCGATCCAATATGACGGGTCATAAACCCAGTTTTGCTTGTGACCCGTTAGGTCCTCTGGCCTCGGTGGCCTGTGCCAAGCTGGGGAACAGGGTTACCTCCATAGTGGGGGCGCTTTTTGTCAGCGCCGGCTTTATCACCAGCATATTTGCCACCAGCGTGATCTACCTTTACCTTAGCATGGGGATAGTTGTTGGTGAGTTTTGTTTTATATGAAAAATAAAAGTATAGATATTATGAGTAAAAAAATGTATCCACAAAACTTTGATTTTTTTTCCAGGTCTCGGGTTTGCTCTTCTTTATCAGGCCACATCTGTTGTAACAGTGACCTATTTCCAAAAGAGGCTGGCAACTGCATATTCTATTGGACGCTCTGGCATGGGTTTGACCTTTGCCCTCGCTCCTTTCACTCAGCTGCTTTTGGATCAGTATGCTTGGCAGGGTAATTGGCTTTCAGCTACATTATTATAAAATCTGTAAAATCGGTATAAATCTTAAACTGGTATATGATTCATATACTATTGTTCAAAAGTTTGGGGTTGGTATGACTTTTTAATGTTTTTGAAAGAAGTTTCTTATGCTTACCAAGGCTGCATTTATTTGATAAAAGCAGTTATATTATGACATTTTATTACTATTTAAATTAACTTTTTTCTATTTTTTCTGTGATGGCAAAACTGAATCTTCAGCAGCCATTAGGCCAGTCTTCAGTGTCACATGATCTTCCATGATGAAGTATGTAAAGAGTGGAAGTGTTTTTTTAGGAGTTTAAAGAACAACATTAAAATAGAAATCTTGAGTTACATTATAACTTTATAATTTTACTGTCATTTATTTATTTTTTTAAGGCTAAAAAGTAATTTTTGATTTAATAAAGTGACTAATTTTTTTCTGGATCTAATCATTTATCCGAAAATACATTAAAAGTGCAATGCAGCCATTGATTTGAATATTTCTCTTAAATGATAAGTGTTTTTAATTAATTTTATTTAATGAATTTATGAGCATGAATTAAAAAATGTCAGGGTGTCCTGATATAATAGTAAAGAAAGAAGTATTATTATTACATGTTAAAATACTATAATTGACACTCATGAGTTTCTCTAGGAGCTCTTTTGATTTTGGGAGGCCTGATGCTGAACCTGGTGGCTTCTGGGATGCTTTTGCGGCCCATTAATGTTAGACCTCCAGCTTCTCCCTTGTCAAACTCCACCCTTCATAATGCTGGATCTGAGAAAGATCCTCTTAAGAACCATATGAATAGCAACACCTCTATATCCAATGGCACTTCCAAAATGGACAGCTCACCTCCCATTCACAGGGACACACTTATAATAAAGAACCCCGTTCATGAACAGAATACTCTCCCACATCTGGAACTAAAAAAATCCATCCAGAATGGGGTGAATGGTACAGACGGCAGCCAAATGAAAACTTCCCCCGAGATGAATGGGGTTTCTCCTGTGGATTCGTTACTTGAGAACAGCAGAAAAGAAAATCTTCCTGAAAACCCCCAAAAAGTGCTGGACTTCTCATTGTTGAAGAACCCTTTCTTTTGCATCTACACTTGGTCGCTGGTCTTCAGTCAGCTGGCATATTTTATACCTTACTTCCATTTGTCTGCAAGGGCCCGGAACCTGGGCATCGACCCTATGGATGCTTCCTTCATCATCTCTGTGGCTGGTGAGTCATATTACCTTTGATCAACCAATGTAACCCTAGAGTCTTGTTTTTCCACCGTCATCTATTTTAAGTATTAAGTGCTTTTTTACAGAATTAATTTTGCATTCGCAAGGAAATTATAGATAAAGGATTCGTGACAAAGGTTATAAGATGATTTAAATTAAAAAGTTACCTATTGCACAAAAAAGTCCTCTAGTCAGCATGTTTGTTATTGCTGTTCTCTGGCTGCAACAGTTCAACTGTACACTAATAATGTGTAACAGTAGAAGAAATCAATAGGACGTAAGCACTGCTGAGCTATGCTGTGGAAAATGGAGAGACAAAAGACCATGTAATGACAGTGCTAGTGGACAGCATGTCATTAGCGAAGTTGGGTTTTTCAGGGATGGCTTCATCAGGGATGTATTCCAGGAAAGCCATAAAGCCATACCTGATAGATGCACTACACTCTTAAAAATAAAGGTGCTTCACGATGCCATAGAAGAACCTTTTTGTCTAAATGGTTCCATAAAGAACCTTTAACATCTGAAGAACCTTTCTGTTTCACAAAAGGTTCTTTGTGGCGAAATAAGGTTCTTCAGATTACAAAAACGCAAGAAAGAGATGGTTCTTTAAAGAACCTTTGACTGAATGGTTCTTTGTGGAACCAAAAATGGTTCTTCTATGGCATCGCTTGAAGAACCTTTTGAAGCACCTTTATTTTTAAGAGTGTATGGCCATTGTGCTTTGCAGCAAGATGTGCTGTAATATGGGCTTTAAAGGGTTGATGCAAAAACGTAGCCAACTTCACATTAATTATTTGTGAGCAGTTTAAATTCTGCAGTGTTATGCAATGAGTGCTCTTACATAAAAAATGAACTTTGGCATAGTGGCTAAAACCAGAGGGCTTGTAAGTGTCCTATCAATAATGCCACAGTGAATGACAGAGAGTTTGAATATGTTTACTCAAACATTTTTTTAAAATTTGTATTTATTTACCAAAAGGTAGTACTATCAAGATATTGCTTTTAAGGGTGTTGATTATTACCTCCAATGGTGTTCTTTAGAGAAACAAGAAATACAAGGCACTTATGTTAACATTAAAAAGACTTTATTAAAATGGAAACTTTTTCAGCAAAAAATCATAACCAACATGTTGTCTGGGTATGTAGGAAACATGTGACACCTATTGACCCAATTGTTTGTTTACTGCAATACACACCCTGATAATGGCTCGCTATTTGCAACATGTCTATTGTTGTTTTTCTTCAACTTTATTTATATAGTGCTTTATACAATACAGATTGTATCAAAGCAGCTTTACAGTATTAAACAGGAAAATAGTGTTTTGATAGTGCAAGAGGAAAATAGTAAACACTATTTAAATTTTTGTTACATCCTGTGCAATTTACTTGAAATTCATGCTTCATATTAGAATTATAAATGCACTGTTACTGAAATTCTGACTGATATGATGAGCTGTTAGTTATTTTCCTGTTATGACTGATAACTGATAAATGTCCGTTAATAAAATGATAAACTAAAAATTAAACACTATCGTACATCCCTACTTTATATAGTGGCCCAAAAAGTCACCTTTTGGAGTCAACACTTAAAATGAATCAATGTCTTTAATTTATATTAAAAAAAATTGAAAGATAGCACAAGCAAAAATCATTTAAATTCATAAATCAATTAAATAATGGCTCAGAAAAGTGTGGTTTTGTAAGTTTAGCATCACTTATTCACAGAGGCTGCTTGGTTTTTGCTGTTGTTGTTTTTTTTAGTAATTTTTTTGTCATTTTTCTCTGCCAAGTTTGCCTGGTTTAAGCTGTCAAAAAATTACTTTGATGGTCTTCGATACACTATGAAAACTCACCTTTATTTATATAGCACATTATACAATACAGATTGTTTCGATGCAGCTTCACAGTAATAAACAGGAAATAATAATAAATGTACCTTCCGGTGCATACAGATAGCTGCAATAGTTAAGTCAATGAAGTGTCCAACATTACACACTTTTTTGTTTTTCTGGTTAATTAAGTGCATTATCCGGATATTTGAAGTGTACTTTTTCTTTTTGGAATTTTCAGTATGAATATACTTGTAATATATATACTATAAAATGTCTTATGCACAAATAGTGCATAAGTGCACAAATTGAGACAATCGCGATATTCCAAATGTCTCCTTTCCCCTACCCCCTCCACCTGCACATTGAAAGATGTTTTCACATCGGACAGGGTGAGCAGGGAACTAACACTCAGGCTCCTCGTGGCGGCGAGCCAAGGGAAGTTGCTAAGCAACAGCCCAAGTAGCTGCCGTGAGGGTTGATAGTTCAGTGCCCAGTTCTGAAGTGGCTGACATTGTGTGGCGTGCCACCGAGGCAGCAATGAGGACAAAAGAGAGTGAGGAGACGAGCCAAACACGTTTTGTGTTTTAATGAGCTGGTAACGATCGGACATGCATTTGGACGCTCTGTACCTCAGTGAGGGCCTATTGTCCGTCTTTGATGTAGTGGGGACATTGCATTCGTCCAGTCCTTTTGTGTCCACTGAGTGAAGTACACAAAGACACAAACACCTGTCACATGCCCGATTACCCTGGTGAAAGTCCCCCTATACACTACAGAGTTTTGTGGACTAGGAACCTCTACTTTTTGTCACTGAGATTCTGTATTGAAGTTTCATTGTGCAAAGCATGACAGGAACAGCTGTGAAACTCAATGGCCCTGCTGGGATTTAAACACACAAACAATGCGCAAAATGTCTTTGGTTCCAAGCAAGGCACACCAGGATGTCACCTTTAGTGGCGCACCGAGGACATGCAAACATTGAGCAGCTGTTTTGTTTTATGTCTGGCCAGCAATAAATGACTCCACATGTGCACAAACTGCAGCATCAGTTCAAGCCATTGGTTCTATATGAGCTGGTCAGATCATACCAACACTTCTGGGCTTTGTGTAAGCATATTCAGTGTGTGATTTAATAGGTTATGAATGAATATGATCTTGTGTGTGTGCATTTTTATGTAGGCCTATCCAGTAAACTGTGACAGCCTGCATGTCAGCAGAGAGTCTCACACTTTGGATCTGTTGCGTATGTATGAATCTGCAATAGTGCTGCCTCAGGTCTTTTCCTAGGCTGTTCAATAAAGCTCTGCAGGACACGGACATACAGCTGCAGCACAGAAAACAGCAATCATTAAGCAGTACTGAACGCTTTGTACGGCACACCACAAAATAACTAGTCTGTTATCATTACTTCTGTTCCTCTTCTGTCACTCTTTGAACTGAAAAACAGACTGCGCCAGAGGCTTCAAGCAAAGTGTCAATTAACTTAAAGGGGTCCTATTATGCTCTTTTTCAAAGTCTTGATTTTGTTTTGGGGGTGTACTAGAACAGGTTCTTATAC